TAGACGGCTGAAAATTTATGGGGGCCTCTTTCAAGTTAAAAAATTCAAACTGGGAAAATTGCACTGCTGATATATCTGATTACGCTACAGTAACTTAGATCACAAATTATATTAATCTGCCAGCGTGACCAGAATCGTGGGAAAAGTCGTGCTCCAAGCTTACAGAACCCTAAACTCCGCACTGCTAAGAGCTTAAGCGACAAGCGTTACCTTATATGGGCACCACATGGTAATACTGCCTACTGGCTAGCTTGTCTCATGTTGGTAGGATTGCCAGACTACAGGCTTGTAGTGTGGGGGGGGGGGGGGGGGGTGGGGGTACGACACATTTATTTAGCGCTTTTCAGTATAGACTCAGAGTAAAAAAGTTAAGGATTTATAGGATTCGTGATCAGAAATAGCTATCGAAACAATAAATTCTTATTCTTAAGAAAACAATATGAAATCTTGCGCTATCCAATAATTTTGCAGCAGCTGATTAGCTGATATTGATAATAAAGCTTAAGGTCCATGAGCAGGAACAAAGCTAACAAAATATTCCGCAACCTCGTGAAGTTTATTCTTTATAGTACGGTTGCAAATGGGTGTTGCCATAATTTCAGTTCCAAAATTTAAAATTTAATAATAATGAATTTAAATCTACTGGTATTTAGTCTTTCTCCGTTATTTGGTATTTAAATTTAATGAAATCCTGAAATGATGCAAAGGATTGTGGAATTTTAGTAAATTTAAACTTTTCATACAAAGTTCAAATATTTTTTATCGTGCAGGATCCTGGTAAACCCATTATCATTGGTAGATATCATTCGCAGCAAACAGACGAATGCAGCTACTAAAGTTGTGCCATTCAAGCTGCCGCCATCATGCGATTCACGGCGACAATATCATCATGATTTTAGAAAGTTTCTTCGACAAAATCTTTATCAGAGCCCCCTTAGATAAATTGATTTTGATATTATTTTTATTTACATTGTCATTGTATTAATTCTTTACATTGATTTCAAGGTAGGGCGAGCGAATGCCGCTGCTGCTAGGGCACCGGTAGAGGACCGGTATCCGATCATACCGCCCAATAAAAGTCTAAAAATACGCACCAGATCGTTGAACAAATTAAACAGATACTTGGCAAATGGCTCATGATCATGATAAATCTAATCATTTAAGATTAGACTGATTTTATACCCAAATTTGTGTTATTAATACCCCCAACGTCAAGTAAGGTACTGACTGTATGATCCCCCCCCCCCCCCCCCCCCCCCCCCCCCCCCCCGGAGTAGTATGAAACATGAACAACAGTAGTTTCAGGAAAAACTTCCAAAATCGTATATCGAGAGGTAGGTAGTAGGTACTACTACTAGTTACGTAATTCAGAAAACCGAAAAAAATCTGTTAGGATCATAATGATCAGGGAAGCATGAACCGTGGAAAAATTGGTTTCCAGGAATCCACTTTCACAACAAGGAAAAAAGAAAATCGCGATCATTTAGGCCAAAAATCGCGGCGCTGCGACAAGCCAAACTAGGCAAAATCGCGGCGAAAGATAATGTATTTTCAAAGCTAAGTTAGATATCATATATTCGTTAAACTAGCCGGCATTAGTTTAGTTAGATTAGGGAGTGATAAGCAAAACAATAGTATATAACTAAGCTATTACATCCAGTTAGATGCGGATCGATAAAACGGAGTAGGACGGAGACTTGAAGTCGTCTATTCTTGATCAGTGTGCCTTAAGGAATCTCTAATACAAAGCCGAACCGTATGGAGAACGGCACTATACACAAGAGAACGGCACCTTGTCTTTATGTTTAGCTTGTACTAGCTATTTTATAAGTTGCTGGGTTGGAATCAAAATCCCAAAACACAGGCAGATTGCAGAATAAAATTGGTGCAATTGCAAAGCGATGTATAAGACTGCTATTTGGTAACTTCCCCGATTTTGATCATAAAGAATACAACTTAAAATGTGCACGTTCGAGAACTTATAATAAACATATATTATGGCTAGCAAGAACTACTGTCTAGAACACACTAAACCGCTGTTCACTGAGCAGAAGAATATGAATCCGGAGAATCTGCACATGTATCATACATTTATGGAACTATTCAAAATCCTTAAATTTGATGTCCCTCAGTCCATTATAGATCTTTTCAAGTTCTGCCCTAAAAATGAAAAACTTCGTTTGATCCCATTACTGACATTAGAATGTAGATATCTCCCAACAGAACTTTCAGTACACCTCTACCAAAATTTGGAATGATCTCATCCCTAATAGCAATGTACCTATAGTATAAGTATAACTATTACTAAATACTATCAGTAAGGCTCTTCAAACATGGTATTGTCAAAGCCTGTACTACTTTGAGAATGACTCCAATCCGTCGGCCGGGTGGTGTAGTGGTAACACGATCGCCTCCCAAGCAAAAGACCCGGGTTCAAATCCGGTCGGATGCAAGTCGGCCAGTTACCAAGCTGTGATTTGGTACAGCTTCGGCTGGTGATACACACTCTTAGGCTCGTAGGACTAACCCCCCTACAGCTAGTATAGTGCCTCGGCATAGAGTGGCTTAGGGTTACTGAAAAGGAGATAAGCACCTCAGGCCATCCCACCGTTCGGGAGAGACCTGCCCATGTATTGTATGTTGTATGTTTGTCACCAGAAAAGCAGAAAGTACCTTTACCTTACACAAAAACACGGTTTTCGGGTATTATTCTTGTAGCTGCTGGCCTCTAGTTGAGCGCATAATTTGGTAAAGCTGGTTACTCCTTCATGAATTAATCTAGTCTACAGATGTTTGAAACCCCCCCCCCCCCTCCGTTATCAGTTTTACAAATAGCTATTCTGTCAAAATTACACTAGCGTAATCATTTGGAAAATTTGGGTTCAGTTGTCGTTTTAAGATTTACGCTGATTGGGCACCCAATTAAGCTGATTCGGTGCCCTGTTAACTGTGTGGGAACTAGGTTCAATTGGGTTCAGTCGTCGGTCAGCCTTATAAAGAACGTGATATTTGGCCCTCGGACTTAAAGGAGAATGCGCAAATTTGGTCCTCAGATTAAAAGACAAATGCGCAATTTGTCGCGGAGAACTGAAAAATCGCGATTTGTCGCTAGGATCTGAGAAAAAAGCGATTTTTCGCGGCAAACGTCAAAAATCGCGATTTGTCGCGGAGAATGGGAAAAATCTCGATTCCGCACGTGCCGCGATTTCCTTTTGACCTTGTTTCACAAGCATTTCTGAGCCCACTTGTCTGCTGACGTAACATTGTTAACCAAAAACTTCCCAACTTCCCTAAAACTTAGACATAAAAACTTAGACCACTAGACATAAGTTTACCACTAGACGCTACACCCAAATCAATGTCAGGAAAACTGCAAACATTCAGAAGACGATACATAGAGGCCCTCTTATGAACAAAGGCAAAGATGAGGAAATAAAATAATACGTACCTATGTGATGTAAAATGTGTAAGGCATAAGGTTAGTAAGCAGTTAATCTGAGATTTGGAACAATGAGAACATGGGAGAACATTGACCAATTTTTAAGACAATTAATCTATATTATAACTTTATAACATACCTTTGCGAAAACAATATGGACAGAAACTCATGAGGGTAAAGGAAATATTTCTACAAACATAGTGATAGTGAAAAACTTATACAAAGGATGCCACAATGCTGGCAACATGCCGCCACCTCTAAGTCGCCCAAAAAAAGCCACTGAGCTGCAAAATTTAGCCACTACTCGATAGAATAAAAATTGTTAAGTGATTTAAACGGTTCTTTTGCGATAGTGTAATTGCGACAACTAGCGCTGGATGGCGACAACTAGCGCTATCCATTTAAACCTCATTCTGTCCGATAACCATAATGATATAATATACCATAGGAGTTCGGACTACTTGTTCCAGAACTACGTGCTTAAGAACAACTTGTTCACTTGAAGAACCGTGGAAATTTCTGCGAATGTCGCGGCGCCGCGATTTTTGGCCTTAATAATCGCGATTTTCTTCTGTCCTTGTTCACTAGCAGTTAGCACGTGCCAGGTGCCTTCTCAAAATAAATGAGCAGTGATGAGAGTGGAATAAGCTTCAGTACATATATTTGAAGTCTAACTTTGATGGTTAAGTGTCTTTGGTTTTTTGTCCAATTTAGATATTGTGCAGCTTTCAGGACAATCAGTTGTGTTGTGTTGAGATTGATAGCACAATATTTTGTTACAGAAATTCTACACTGGACTTCATAATTTGCTGTCCGTTATCGTTCAAGTATCATTTCTCTCTTTTTAATCTTTCGAAATAATTAAGTTTGTTGAAAAGGGCTTAACTTTTCAGTTCTTTTCTTTTCCTATGATAAATATTGGAACTCATAATATCCCAGACATAAAGCCCCAACAAGAATATTTTGAGCACTTAAAAAAATTGAATAAATAAAAATTGTATATCGGATCTCCCAGTTACTCTCACCTTCCCTGCCCCATAGCATATGGAAGAGAAGTGTACCTATTATCCTGCAGAGTGTAGACACTAGACGTGATGATAATACACAAGTCTCTGATTTAGTCAATTAAATTAGTAATTCGATGAGGTTGATAACGGTGTGAAGTATGTACTGTTTTGTGTTAAATGGGCCATGTATCTTCGCTGTTATCCCGGCGGCACACATGTAAGATGCTATTGTGCCAGAATAACGGGAAATTTTGCTCTTCGATTTGAAAGAGCCAATTAAATCTTATATTTCGGTGCCCCTGGCATTTGTAACATCGCACCATTCTCAACCTGTCCTTAACCCGATTAATTAGCTTGTAGGGAAGCCTTTGACTTTGTTCATACGAGAGTGTGAAACCAAACAAGGAGATGTTTAATTTGGATTACAGCTGTCAACCAATAACCATTAACCATACATGGTGACTGGTGAATATGGTGAGCTGTTGATTAAATGTTTTACAATTTTCGTACGATCACTTTTTAATACATTTCCACAAGAAAAGACACAAACTATCTACATTTTTGTATGCAAAAATAGTGTTACAAATATATTAAGATATTATGATATCAGCACGTCTCGTAATTTTAAAATCAATAAATAATGCACCAAATATTAATGCACCAGAAATTCCAGCCAGCAGAAAAAGAGTGAAAAAATCCCAAATAAATGTGTCATACAGTTCCTATAAAATATCCGTGTAAAATAGGAATAACAATCACTGGTTGAGTTTACAGTACATGAAGACAGCAAGTTCGTAGTTTCCTATCTCCTTCATGCCAGTCATCTTCTCCTTCCAGTAAGCCCAGCCTTCCTCACTGTCCAAGTGCTGAGCCATGCCGTGGTCTCCGTCCACCAGATCTTTGGAAACTCTTTCAACTACCTGTTGAAAGTAGAGTACGTTTCAAAATTTAGACGTTATTTGTGACTAAATCAGTAAAAATGAATACCGAGATTCTAAGCAAATCCGGCTTTGTTAGTGATAGTATAGCCTTTATCACTTAAACATTATCCAGTAAAATACTTAAATTAAACAGATACCTCGCTCTCTTTTCCAGTGAAGTCGAATTCCATCAGTTTCTCCTGGAAACTTGCTGAGGGGTTGTCCATCTTGCCGTAGGTGTAGTCAATGTCATAGCCTGGAGGAGGTTGAGGAGCATCAAGTTTCCCGTAGCTGTAGTCAACGTCGTAACCGGCGGGAGGTTGAGGGGCATCAAGTTTGCCGTAGCTGTAGTCAACGTCGTATCCTTGTTTTCCCATCTCCTTCAGCTTCTCGTATTCTCCAGATGTAATCCCGGGGTATTTAATCTTCAGAGCGAGGATGTTGAGCTCCTGATTTATACCGTTGAGGTCGGTGTTAGTGGCACAGAGACACATCTCCGGAGTTGGAGGACGGAGGAGGAGGGCCTGGTAGTGGGAGTGAGCGCGGCTCCACATCTCGTTCATGTGCAGCACGTGGGCTATCTTCTCCAGGACACTGAAGTTTGTGATAGAGTAGTGGGCCTTGTCCATGTTTCTCAGGATCTGCAATGGTAAATGGTTTGTTTAACTACGTGTTCATTGTTCTCATTTTATACCAACAAATTCTTCAACTCACAAAATTGGAAACTGTGGGATCTTTCTATTTTCATAAATGTTTACTACCTTTATGAGGGGTACTCATATTTAAATAACGTACCAGATCAAGGTATTTGAGAGCATCAGTGGTGAAGCCGTCATCATATCCGGTGTGGGGTGCATGAGGGAGCACTCTCTCCTCACTCCCTAGGTCCTTGTTAACAGTTGGAATGTTGTTCTCCTCACCAACACTAGCGCTGAAGTACTTCTGAATGTCCTCCACGGAGATGGAGTGAAGTCTGTGAGCAACGTTCCGGGCAAACAAATCGGTCAGTCCTCCAGCTTTCAGCTCGTCTCTACACACTGACTTTAGAAGATCAGTCCTCAGATCAACAGGCACTGAATTAATTAAAATATCACAATGTTTTACGTTAACCTGTGAAGCTAGCGACCAAAAAGTATTGAAAGCTATATACTCTAGTATTTTTAGTACAAGTAATGTTTAATATTTACAAGCTGTAGAACTTGATACATACCATGAATTGTATTACCAAATAACGGAGTAGTTCGCTGTTTATTAGTCTCATGATTGAAATACTGATAGTTGGATATTATCCGGGTTGGCGAGACAAGGACAAATGAAACAAGGAAGTTAGGAGTAAGGGCAAATTTTTGGCGTCAACGCCATCTTCTGGCTAAAATTGGTATAAATGTTAGTATATAATTGTAAATGCTTAGTATACTAGTTAAAATGCTAAATTGAAATTACACACACTGAATACAGGTTACATCAAATGGTATTATATATTATTACATTGAAAATGGTGATGTACACACGTTTTACACTCTGTCCAAGTACATAATATCTACTGGACAGAGTGTAAAACGTGTGTACATCACCATTTTCAATGTAATATATAATACCATTTGATGTAACCTGTATTCAGTGTGTGTAATTTCAATTTAGCATTTTAACTAGTATAGAAGCATTTACAATTATATACTAACATTTATACCAATTTTAGCCTGAAGATGGCGTTGACGCCGAAAATTTGCCCTTACTCCTAACTTCCTTGTTTCATTTGTCCTTGTCTATTCAAACCGGATAATATCCAACTATCAGAATTGTATTACATAAGGTAAAACTTCGACAGTAGAAAGATAAATAAATGTTTACCTGCAAGGCAGTTAGATGCGAGGGCAGCGATCAGCAGTCCAATCATATCGTGAGCCTGGAGCAATTCCTACAATTTATCAAAGAGAAATGAGAGGTATGATCCAATCCTTCTATTTAACCCCGAATCTTTTCCCTGACATGAAGTAAAAGGAGGAAACACATTATTTTCCTTTTTATTTCCTATTATATAACCAGGGAACTCACGAGAAATTCCCGTAAAATTTCATTGGTTCCCCTGTTGGATGCATCTCAATGATTGGTTGAGTCTGAACAATATTGTTAGGACCACCTCACTGTTCCCTGATCGGTGCCTTGAGACTGAAAGGATTCTACCGAACCCTGAAAACTTTTCACGCTACTCAATTGTAGATTTGGGTTGAGCTACCGGTATATCTGGCCACGATGACCTAGATTGTAGCGGATTTACACAGCGCCATGAAGTCACGTGTTTCTCCAGAACGTGAGGCTCAGAATTATCGGAAGAATTTACCATTTCTACTGAAATCAGAGATTGAAAATGATTCCATTTTGTCATTCGCTAGATCTAAGTCTGGGTCGGAATATGATGAACTAAGCAGAAAAGAGCTAGTAATTACAAAATAGTACATTTATCTCCCAATATTATAAATTCTGAAGAACTTATAAATAATAAGTAAAGCTGACGTAACCATCCTTTTCAGATCGACGGAGAACAGCTGAACAAGATCCTGGGACTGGTGGACTCAGGTGTGAAACAGGGCGCCAGTTTGCAGACCGGTGGGGCACAGTTCGGTGATAAGGGCTTCTTCATGCAGCCCACTGTATTTGCGGATGTGCAGGACCACATGGATATCTCTACTCAAGAGGTGAGAACCTTTTCAAGTTCACTAAATCATTTGAGATTTTGTAATTTTCAAGTTTACTAAATCATTTGAGATTTTGTCATTTTCAAGTTTACTAAATCATTTGAGATTTTGTCATTTTCAGTACACAAAATAGCTGTGTTAGATTTGGTACTGTAAAGTGTTATTTTTCTTTTCTGCAATATGCGTACGGCATATTCTCCAATCATTCGACACATCATAACATTTAGGAAACTACACTGCAGGATATGTTTTTGGGTAGGGGTGTTATATTTCGCAATACGACCACGATAATTTAAATTGCAACAAACCTTAAAATTCTACTCCCGAATATCCGCACAGCAACAGAGCATGTAAATCTCATTATTCTTGCACTGTTGCATCACGAAACTGCAGGAACTGCTAGCTGGAATAGGTCTCTCTAATGAAAATGTTTATTATTGTAAAGGACTTTGAGGGGGTCTGTAGTCCCCCCGCATAGTATGTTTGTGTTTCACTGATTTGTAAACTGAAGACGTAAATATCCATATATCAGGAAGCACAATCATAGCAAAAATGTAATATGTTGGTGTATGCGTGTACCGTTTTTCCTCAACTACCACAGGCCACTAATGTTCTGTAATACTGTAATACTAATATCTACACCAAATTCCAGAACAACTAATTCTGGATCATCTCAATCTATAAAATCTGGCTGTATGCGTAGGTAACGCACTGAGCTGGATGGAACCGTACCTTGAAAACAGGTATCAATATGTCAGATTTTTTAATGAGGTTATAAAATCCGCGATTCACCAAAAGCGCGTATAATTCCAAGATTACTGAAAATAAAACTGATCTAGATCTGATCAAGATCATAATCAGTCTAGTATTGTCTACTGTCTATTCTATTGATATTTTTGTTGTTCGTTTATCAACAGAGGCCCTTGATCATTGAATCATTTCATTCAGACAATTTGATTTCAGTTTAAAGTATTTTAAAACGATATGATTTAACTGCTGAGGCGTATGATTCGTATTTTTTAGCAAGGCCTTGTTACTTTTTAATTTTACTCAGTGATAATTCATGACATTAGTGCGAGGAAAAAAACATCTGAAGAATAACCATGGAAAATGATAGCACTGTATTATAAGGGTGTTGTGCTGCCAGCTATTTCCAAGCCAATATCTGGCTTTCCACAGAAATTGTAACGATCCATTTGTTCTGCAGAAATGGCTTCCTGCCAGGAACAAAGTGCTCTCTTCCGCTCTCAAGAATGTTGGCACTCTGCCCAGGATAGGTAACCCGCTAATTGCTTCACTAAGCACTGAAATGTATGGGTTTAATTTAATGGACACGTTCAAAAAAAGGTGGCACTAGAGATTGATTTTTTTAAATGCGTTTTAAAAATAGTCATTGTTCTTTGTTGGTTGATATATCTATCTATACCTTTAGAAATTCGATTAAATTTCATGATCCTGAAATCACGGAGTCTCTAGTGCTTATATTACAGGAGTTATCGTTATTTGTGTGCCAATGATTCAAATATCACACAATTAGAAATGCAAGATGAATCAACACTAGATAATCTGAAAAGTACTATTCACAAAGACGCCAAAATTGATATGGTGATTATAATGCATGTAAGGAATGGAATGTCTTATCTGAAATTGTTATTGGTGCCAAAATGATTCAAAAATCACAACTTAAACGTTGGAAATGAGCCTATTTTGAGCAGTGATTATTGAATCATCTTACGTTTTTATTGGCTTTCTATCATTTTTTAGGGTACAAAATAGTATTAAATAGTATTAAAACCAGTTAATATGATTCAAAAATCACATTTTCGTTAAAGGTGCGCTATTAAGTCACACTATAGTAAGCCTTAAATTAAGTGCACGATATGACAATTTATATCCATTCTATGATTCTTATTATGTGATTTTTGAATCCATGTCTAAGCTTATACCATATTGAAGGCCTTTGAGCGATAATTTTTGATCTCGGTGCTTAAATGATTCAAAAATCACACAAATCTGGCTACCAAATATGTAATTTCCTTTAAAGTGTGATAATTGAATCATACGTAATGTTCAAGTTGTAATGACATTTTGAAAGTAAAGGTAATGAATCGATAATCACATTTCAAAAATCCGATTAAGTATTATATGTTACTGATATGATTCATTTGTCACATTATGGCGACAAAATTATCATGGCTTGAACTGTAAAAGTACTTGCCTAGTTTACTCAGTTTAAAATCAGTTTTTTGTGATTATTGATTCCACTATTACTCTAATAACGAACTTCTCCATGACCATAAACAAGTGTCACAACACATTACTGCAGATTTACTATGAATACCAACCTGATATAGAGCCAAAAAGTGATACATTCCCCTGATACAGCATAATTTCAATACATGCTCATTTATGTGATTTTTGACTCATTATGGCACTTTTAACCATCTAAATTCTCTAAATATTAGTTAGCATGATATAATTGTGATTGATAGAGTTCATTGTTACAATCGTTTCGTTGATATTCATATCACATTCATCATTCTAAAACACTTAGTCAGAATTAACCCTGTGTGTGATAATTGCATCGTAACTCCACATTTAACCGGTGATACTTTGCAATTTTAACACTCAACTATCTCAAAAAGGTTCAATAATCACATTGAGAAGCAGGACACACTCACAGAATGTAAATTCATCATTAGAGGTGCAAGAAATGAATATTTTGTGATTTCTGGCTCATATCTGCACAATTAACAGATATAAAGAGATGGATGACTTAATTATGTGATATTTGAATCTTTTTGGACCACATATTAAAATTTGGTTAACTTTCATAGCATACTCCTTGAGATACAAGTATTTTAAAATGCTTCACACAATTTTGGCAGTGAAAAATCAATCTCTAGTGCCACCTTTTTATGAACGTGTCCTAATAATGAAAGTTTACATGATATGTCTCGAATTTCCTCTTGTTGCTAATATACAAGGTCTACTGACAAACGTATCACGTATGTACGGCAGATATATGTGTGTAAAGTGTGATCTAACCCTTATAGTTCAAAGGGCAATTTTTCGAGACAAAAATGAATTGGACAACTTCAAACTATATTTATTTGGGCAACCTGTTTCACGGCCAATAAATTTACCTCCCAGTATTGATACACCCGTATCAGATTAGTCAGGGTAGCGCACAGCTAACATGAGGACAGGCCACTTAAGACAGAATAAAATTCCTGGGTTTTACAGACCTTCAGGGCGAAGCTAAATTACAGAATCAATTTAAGACCGCAGCGATCTTATTATTTGAGTGAACAAATTATAAACGTCAACATGTTAACGATTTTTGTTGGCTCAAATAATTGAGTGAAATCGAATTATTGGCCGTGGAACTATAAGGTAACGTATTGCGAAGGGGCTGATAATATCTGTGTGAAGTGTAATCTAATAGTAATAAACTTCAATATGTCTATGGGAAGTGGTTCAACTAAATTTATTTTACGATAAGACGGTTTTAGAAATTTTTTCAATGATGAAAAATATTGAAACATTTCTATATAACTTATAAGGCAAAATAGGCAACTAACAATTAGTAACTAATTTACTTATTTTTTTCTTGCTACAATTTAGGCCCTGTTCCAACAAATATGATGTCAACTTCTTCATTGTGTGACACAATTTGTGCGGCTCACATTATGTTATCATATTACTGTATAGCCTCAATATATACTTTGAAATATCCAGTTACCTAGAGAACAGTTATTTAATTAATTAATTATCTGGACAATTAGACAGTTCTTTGTTTGAGATGGTTTAATTAAATCAAGTTTTTCTGGCGTGTTCTGATTTTATGTCCTTCAATTTGCTGTCAAATAACCTCGCTACACCCATTTTAATAATGGGCGGATATTAAAAGTAATTAAGACATTATTGTAATTCAAAACATTAATGTATTCAGTGGCCATACCGGCAGTAATTGTAAAAAGCTCTTCTTAACAGTAATATAACACTAACAGGCCCAGGCGAATATTCTAAATGAATGATATTCATTAGATTTCACATCTGCTGTTTCCATCTTTCATTGATCAGCACTGTTAATAACTTACGGCAGATGTTGGAATGTTCAAACTATTTCAAAATATGTTCAAGATCTTATTATGCGCATTGTCAAGATCTGTAAACCATCACTCCTTTCTATTATCATTCGTCGCGTCTAATTAAGATAATGACTGATGTTTCAGTAAAATTATGAAACGTAATCTATTTATCCCTTTTTTTACATACCATGGAATCAAGATAGTGCACTTATTTTCTGATATCAGAGATAAAATTCGTTTCGTATTTTACGTAATACAATATTAACATAAATTAACAGGCTAAAAATCAAAAGATATCAAATCGAATAAAACATTAAAACACAAACTCTCCAAATATCTGTAAGTCGTCTACTTCTCATTCCGCGATAAATATCATGTAAATAAAACATAAAATTCAAAAAAGGGCAAAATTATGCCAAACATTTCACCATTGTTATTTACTACAAGAATCAACACTGTGACTAAGAACATCGTTACTAGATAGACTATAAGTACAAACTACGAATAACCAGACTTCCACGCTATCAGACCATTTAAAAAGTCACTATAAATAAAGAAGAGCGACTGCTATAACGAGGAGTGAACCTCTCCAAACACCAGTTCCCGCACTGACACCCTCTCTCTGCTCCACACCATAATCCAGCCCGGTGTATTGGGTGGCACAGTTGGTACCTGGGTTATAGTTCTCATCACTCTCCGTACAAGGGTTCAGAACCTGGTTCCTTATCGTCTCCAGATTATACTCGGGTCCCTGACACGAGCAGTCCGTGCAGGAGGCCCACACCAAGAGGAGGTTAGTGTTCGGAACTGCACTGTAGTTGAAGGACTGGTAACAGGTGGGAGACTGCTGAAGATTGTTCCCTGTACCCACCTCTACGGAGAAGTTCCGGGACATGAAGGGGTGAATCTGGCAACATGTTAGGTCGATCTTAATAGACTTCCAGTCCTCCTTCAACTGATCGTCCGATTCTGATATACCGGATACCAAAATTGAAGGATTCAGTATGAAGAACCAAATGTTCGACAGTAGGTTCATTACTACAGATGCGGTGGAAAACAGCACATTTGTAAGAATTCTCACAGAAGGATAACGCAAGTATAGGCTCACAGAGTCAGCAGCACTCTTAGGTGGCATAGTATTTTCAGGATATACGTCCTCGCAGCTGTAGTAGCATTCTGTGTGATTGAAGGAGTTGTAAATACCCTTTGCTAAAAGCTCCTCCATCAGTCTAGGGAAGAGTTTGGCTAAGTGTTGTCCTTGATGCTCTTCAGCGTCCGATGATACGATAAATGCGTTTTCGTCTACTAAAAACCGGCTTCCTCCCATCCCCCGAAAGGGCTCATACATTTGTTCCTCTAGTTTCAGAGCCGGTACCCTAAATGAAAGCATGAGAGGGTAAGAGTTACTTTGCTGGTGATAGATGATCTGGGAAAGTTCGAAGATGCACTCCGTGGAGGTAGCACTGACGTCTGTGACAGATAACATGTTGTTATTCCCACTGTTGGTAACGAGTGAGACTAGTCTGGTGTACCTCTCACGGGTGTACGGACTGTTTGTTCGTTTCGTTTTGTTGCCCTCGATTATCTTGAACCTGCTTCCAGCCGCCGTTGTGACGAACAGATTCGTCGGATCTTCCTTCAGGTAGGCACTGAGATATTCAGATACCATGTAGATATCATCAAATATCTCGTATGCAAAATCGTGGCATTCTGGAAACTGAAACTTCCGATTGATGAACTCCTCGACAGTTTCGTTATCTACGATATCATCACCCGCTACTTTGCCGAAGAATTTACTGTAAGTACAGTAAGCAGTGTCACGTGACACGTCCTTTTGGGGACCCTGGTTCTCTGTAAACACTTTAACTCGCGTCTTCTGGACGTTAGTTCGCTTGGGGAAGGCTAAAGACTCTCTGTTACAGATGTGAAGAAGAGAATTCTTTTCGTCAATTGCATTCAGCACATTAAAGAAGTAATTGTTGGCAAAACTTCGTGTTCGTTTTGAAACCGACGTATCTGATACCTCCAGGTAAAGTAATTTTGCTTGCTCAGTGAAATTTTGGAAAACCATGCCCTGTTCAACCTTCTTCATTGTTGCTCCGTTGTTGAGATAAGAGTAGAGGTGAAGCTTCTGATCTATCTCTATGGATTCTTTTGTTCCGTACAGGACAGGATGATAGAGAACACTCCCCTTCAGATCCACTGTCACTGCATAACATCCCCTGGCAGTGGACAGTGGGTATAGTCCTAAACTTTTGGCCTCGATGTCCACAGCAGCCACTCCCAGAAATGCCCCTTTACCTTGAGGCAGACTGGAAGGTGTGGTCCAGTTAGCAGCTTTATCTGTTACCACAGGCACTACCAGCGTGGCTATGTACTCCTCAGTTGACGCGTCTTTGTACATTGCCGTAGTTTTCACATGTAGTTCGTCCTCATCCACAACAGAGGTAAACAGCTCACTGGTCAGCTGTAGGATAGTGGGGTTGATATCGGAGAGATCTTCAATCTGGGCATGGAAACCACCTAGAGTAGCTGCTGCAAGCTTCAGGTCACTTGCAAACAGCACGTCCTTACCAACTTGCAGAATAACGATCTTAACGCGGGGATCTATGTTGTATGTTTTGAAAATACTAACGATATCTCTCTGAGTGTAGTCTGTGAAAAGAACCAATGTAGAATGGCACGTGTCTAGGTTCTTAGAGTTATTTAAAACTTCTATGCCCATTCTTATCGCCATGGTTAGGTTCGCAGATCCTTGAGGTTTTATCTTCCTAATCTGTCCGATGAGGATATCTTTAACTCGCTTTCTAGCTCTCACCATCTGAGTTCCACAGCCAATGGGCTCAACAACTTGATTAAAAGTAAGGACGGATATGTAGTCCTCGTCAGATACAATAGTTTTTATGATGCTAACTGCCATTTCCCTCATCAGTTTACCAGTTCTGACTGCCAGTGTCCCGCTCATATCCATCAGGAAAACCACCTTTTTAGATTCGGCCGCCCCCACCCCATACCACCCTCTAAAGCGACAGTCGTAAGTGATCCACTTGCCAACTCTGGGAGTGTAGTAGGAAGGGTAAGTTCTCATGACTCCGTGAGGTGTTCCTAAGTACTGGAGCGTTGTTGCTGATCCAGTTTGGTTTGGAGCCCAGTTCGCTATAAAGTTGGGATCCATCCTCGCTGTCCAGAGAATAGTCTCCCTTACCTTAGTCCAGTTGTAATACACATCAATAGGTATCACAAGACTTGAGTTGGTGACTGATACTGGTCGCTTAAAGTTTGTTAATTTTTGATAGCTCATATTTTGGCCCTTGTGAGTAACATCTTGGAAACGTTCGAGGAAGTCAAAGTCGTTAGTGTCCCCGGTGTAGTTATAGAAACTCTCAAGTGCACTCTTTCTGATGTTCCTCAAATTTTTCTCCGAATTTTTGAACTGTTTCGTTACATTTTTCTCTATCTTCTCTAGTATCTGGAGTCCAGTGTAAGTTTCATAGCTCTGTGTGCTGTAAATCATCTCAATAGCTCCTTTATCAAATCCCTTTTTCATCAATTTTGCCAGCACCTCCCCGATCTTTGTGGCCATAATGTCAGTAGATTCAGGATTGGTAATGCTCTCCCCAGTGCACATGGCCAGCAAAGTGCACAGCACAGCCATTATAAGATCTACCAACCGTACCATCTCCACACGGATCAATGGTTTATTCCGCTTAGTCTGCAGCTTACTTCATGGCGTCCACAACATCTTGCTTGGGCACTGGTATGAGATATCATGTTAAGACTTAGTTAAAGACTATTAGACATACTTTCATTTAAAATGCCGTGTTTAAATATTCGACCAGTGGCGTCACGTAATGTTCTGCTACCGTATCCTTTGCCAGATCCTTGACAAAAATTAGGTGGAACTTAAACTTGGGACATAATGAGTGTGTCTAGCCGGTTCTTGGCTGGTTGCCCGGCACATGTTAACGTGACGCCACTGTTGGAAGCATTTATTTATTTGTATTATAAGTTAAATATTATGGAAATCCGAAAAATTTCCAAGAGAGAAAGAATTCTTGGACGCAAAAAAAAACACAGAAGTCAGAATCCAATATTACAAAGTCCACGTTAAAATTATATAAACTGTATATAATATACTTTGAGTGAACAAACTACGAGACAAGTTTAGTGGGGGCAAGAGAGATGGGCATCTGCCATCTTTTTTGGAGAAATGGGAGTTATAATTTAAACACTGTAATTATTGTTGATAATATTACTGTAGATTACTGTAAACTATACTACTATAAACTATATAAGTATCATAAACTACTATAAACTATACTACTCAAGAAATAGGGTGTAATATGTATGATTTAAAGGCGAATAATCGGATAACATGAGATTTGCTTGACACTTTATGCACATTTTCTAACAAATCGACAAAATCATGTACTGCACAATCAAGTATGTTAACATAATTAGGATAATTTTAATTTAGGTCAAACTTAGATGCTTTAAACATATACAATTCTATAATCGGAATGATTTTCGTGAAGTAAACGAATGAAACAAATCTATTTTATTGTTAAATACTTGGTTATACGATGGTTAAAGATTATAAATATAATAAATTTGCCACTAGAATATGGAAATTTACTAAATAAATTGAAATTGACTAAAATAGATAAAATGTAGATTAAACTCTAAACTATTGCTCAACATCGACTCAAATAAATTGGAACAACATGACCAGTTTAAATATAAATTCACTGCTGAGATGAAACAAAATTGGAATGCATAAAAGCATAAACTATGTATGCAGTTTAGTGGAAAAGGATTAGGTAATGAGCTAAAAATCGGTAATCACAGTGGTGTCTAGAGTTCCAGACGGCACAAGATGGAAAAAGAGCTAAAAGACGGAACAATTACACCGCAAATTATCTCGTACGTGACTTAAACTGTTTCGAGTTGTTTAACTCCGATCGTTCATCAAGTGCTAGCTTTTTTTCAATTATCAATCAATTAACAATAAATTATTAATCAAATAGAGAGCCCGTGGTCACAGGGAGGAAGCTAATAGTATTCTTTGGTTGTCAGTTTTTATAGCATCAACAAATATCCATCACAACCGAAGATACAGCCAATTAAATATAGCTCGCACTGAACACCACGTAATAACCAAAAAAACCGATTAAAATACCCCTCTCAAATCCTTGCACGTGCACGTACACATTTCAACAACGTTACCATGGTTACTTTGCAACTACCTATTTCTCATCTATTTGCACGTGGGCGGTCGTACAAACAAAAATAATAGTATTCTTTGGTAGACAGTTTTTATCGCATCAAAAAATATTCATCCCAACCGAAGATACAGCCGATTAAAATATAGCTCACACTGAACACAACGTAATTCGACAAAATCGATCAAAATACCGGTCGCAAATCTTTGCACGTGCACGTGAGCTTTTGAACACCGTTACCATAGTTACTATGTAACTTCCTATTTTTCATCTAATTTGCACGTGGGCGGTCGTACAGTGTACAGAATTCTCTGAATTATAGTAGAGAGACTAGAAAACCCGTGGTCACAGGGAGGTATCTTATAGTATTTTTTGTTAGTAAGTTTAAATCGGGTCAAAAATATCCTACACAACCGAAGATACAGCCGATTAAAATGTTGCTCGCACTAAACACAACGTTATATCACCAAATCCGATAAAAATGCCGTTTTAACAATCATTGCACGTGCACGTGCGTGTAACAACTCTCGTTACCATGGTCACTTCGCAAGCTTTTGCTTTTTACCTTATTTGCACGTGGGCGGTCGTACAAACGTACATACATACAGAAATAATTCTTTGAATTATAGTAGAGATTATTATAAACAACCAATTACCAATCAGTTAGGAAACAATTAACAATTGCGGCTATTTGTTGTTGATGGGCGTGGTTCCTGTGTTTGCAGTTTTAGTTTCGTTAAAGACTCCTCCTCGTGGATATGTCACATTGCTATAGAGCACGTTTATCTACATTTCAAAGGCCTGCACGTTTCTTTACCTCATTCAATAATTCCTTATGGAGGCAGAAATGGAAGAAAGAGATACATGTTTAGCATCTTAACAACTGATCCTTCTTCTCAAAATGGGAAATAACTAATTATTACAGCCTTGTTGATTGAAAAGCGCAATGAATATGTCTATTTATCGTAATAAACACGTTTTCTAACTTTTAGATTTTGAAAAATTTGTAGATTTACATCGCACGTTCTAGACAAAACAGAGAAAAGGTTTTATGTAAATTAAAAAAAACAAAATAAGCTAGATAATTGCACTCGAGGAGAGAAGACCCATGCATTCCAAAAATATTCCTGGTCGTGCGGTATTTTGCGCTGAAATGAGCTGTACGCTTAAATCGCAGCCTGCATCCAACCACAAAAAGAGACGGTCAATATCATCGAAACCAAAAACAAGTATTTTTGAACAAAGCTACCGTGATGTATATTGGCAGAGTAGAGGCTAAAGATTTATGTAACTATAAGATCCAAGATCAAACCCAGACGAGTGCAGATCACCGGCACCACTACAAGCAAATGGTACGATCTTCACCTGGAAGCTGGCATGAAAACATACGGCCCACGTACATCATAAATTTAAAGTGGGGTATGCTATAATCTGTTGATGTTTGTTCATATCTATCATAGTTTTAATAAATAGGAATGATGCTGCATATTGGTAGAAGTCATGGTTTAAAAATTACTTATAAATATCAAATATGTTATTCTGATCGCCCATGTCACATCTGAACTAATAAAAATAAACTAAGATGAGATCTGACAAAATGTCATGTTATCTAATTTGAGCTGAGTTCATCGAGCAGCTGCACAATATGTCTAGACTTGCAGCAGTGAAGATATGAGTCATGCTAAATTAGCTAATTGCTAATTTCCTGTCATAATGGAACATAATATCCAGGGACAATACTACAGCTCTACAGCAAAGCCAGGCCTACTATTACTAAAGCCACATCTCCTCCCATGCCTTCTAAGAAGAGAAGGAGCGGTTTAAAGTTTTGTATAAAACATAAGATCTGGTGTGAAATGAACAATGAACCATGATACTAAGATACCCGTGCTGTGTCCCACACTCCAGTTCTAACTCAATCGTTAGTCTCTCCGTGGCCATATAATCCTCAACTACAGTATTTCAATCTTCTTTCTAGGTTTCAAGTCTGTAGTATTGAGATCTTTGCACGGATTTGTCACCTAGTACATCGATTACCATTACTTTTCGACTTTCTTGGAGCCTGCATGGCACAGATAGCGTTATACTAAGTTATACTTATATGCTTTATGCTATGTAAAGGTACAGTGTATTGGTAGTACATGTGTATGCAGAACATTTTACACGTGCCAGAAATTTAAAATAAAAACTATGTAACAAATCTTGCGTGGCATGTCATCATGTCCCCATTATAATGGTGTCGATATTGGCATTTGGCAGGTTGCCATCAATATTGGTTTTTGGGGAAAGATGCCAAGTAAACGAATACCGAATCACCAAAAAACGAATCGACCGAATATGTTCGGCCAACCAAATAGCTAACCATTCGGATTTGACTACCGAATAATTAACTTCATACCCCATTATTTTCTGAACTATTCTGTCTATTATAAAAGATGGCAACTCTTTGTAACATTCTGATTATTCGGCATTCCATCGTAGCAGATAAGACTATGTATAGAATTGAAAAGAGCCACCTCGTGCATTAGTATTACATTAGTATTACATTCCGTAACTGTCATGCTCCAGTGCCCTTTCAACAACCTTGGCATTAGTGAAGATACTAACACATAGGGGTGGCATTCTAGCCACAGCCGTATTTCATGTCATGTTTAAGTTGCCGAAGAATCCAGGTTCAAGGAATCCAAGGTTGCAACTATGCATGCATATAATTCATCTGGTGGGTCAGCACATATGTTTAAACCGCTGTAATATTACCGTTCTACGGTTCATGATTTTAGCTTTTAATATAAAGAAGGTGCTCTTAATTAAATGGGTAGGACTACCCAAATTAATTCAACAGACCATGCACAATTGTATTGGAGTAGAGCCCTTCCATGGAAAATATGTAATTTTAACAGTTAGTACCAAGTACCTACCCAAAACTCACTAGGACAATGTTCGAGCAAATCAAGATAACTTTAATCAAAAAGATGAAACAAATTAAACGTTTTTAATCATTAGTAGAAGAGACCAATCTCCCCTAAGTACCTTTTGTTTCACAATTGTAAATTGTAATTGTGCACTGTAAACGGTGTTGCACCATGTTTTCCGCTAGCTTGAGAACAAAGACACAAGACCAGAGAGGAGAAACGTAAAAAGAATGGCTTTGGTTTAGATTTAGGCACATAAATATTAGATAATTGGTAAAGTGGAAAATTTTCAAATTTGCGCCAAGTTGGATATGTATATAGTACGTAGATAGCCGATGCTACTAAATTATCTAGAAGAATTGGGTCTATCCTTGAAGTGTTCTGAGGCAGTAGTGGTAAAGTTGAGGGGTGGGTGAGTGGGGTTATAGTGCCCAGTAATATCCATTTTTCTAATCACTTAATCAAGATAAAATGATTTGACCATTTAAAAGTTTTGTTACAGATGTGTAGTGAAGCGTTAGCTTCACCCTTATTTTACACAAACCAAAACGATTATTTTTTATCGACTAGCCATTAAATCCAAGTGAAATATAAAAACTCCCAACTATTAGGTCATGTGATAGCTGCCAAATTGTTGCGTGGAAGGTGTGTCTGGGAACGCTCAGCATCATCAGAACTTACCGTCTTGACGTTAAAAATAGAGAATTATCTAGAAAGAGGAAATAAAAAGAAAGAGGAAAACTATTTCAACCTGTTTAAAAGACGGATCAATCGTTGCGCGACGAGATATTATGAAATTGCATGCCTTCTTGTCTCTATTTTTTATGTTTTACCATTGAACGCATTGATAAATACTTTGGCTTGAAAAACCGTAAGAGTCATTAAACTTTAATTGTTTCTGAGTTTCTGTACTGGTAAATGAATAGGTATTATACCTCCGAACTCGTATCCAAATCTATTTCATTTTTCTACTGCTGTTAAACCTTGCGAAGACTAAATTTAAATCAGATAAATTGTTGTGAAGTAGCAAATAAAAAGCGAGAAAATGTGATACTAGGGATATATCAGACAAAGAGAAGCAGTGCCAATTAGAGGTGATATCTCGTAGTAATGTGAATAGAAACTAAAATATATTTAGAGAAAAAAGATTTGTTTATAATTTAATATTATAATATTAGTACACATACGTTGGGTCTTATAACGTAGCCATGCTTCATATTTGAGACCTCTTAATTTGCAGATGGTATACTGTAAATACTCAGTACTCATTCGAGGATTTCGTCGACAAAATTTGAAAATTATATTTTTAGGGGCCACGCCCAATCAACATTGAATTGATTATACCCGTAATAAAAATCAAGTTCTACTGATCCGTTTTAGTTTTACAGATAAACGTGCGATACTTAACTGTTGTTCAAATTTGTTC